TAATTTTTTTCCCTTAAATTAATACTTACTATCAACGGACAACACAATTCATTCCTCTCTGTCTATTTTTTCTCTACAAGCAATAAGTTGCAATTTGTACTTGTGACTATTTTTGCTCAAATTCTTTTATTTATTACTTGGATTGGTAAATTTTTCAGTCCAAGTTCTCATTTAATTTGAGAGGAATTGTTGTTGTGTGGATATAAGGTATGTTTTAATGAAAACAAAGAGGTAACAATAAAAAGAGAAAATCCTTGATCAAGAGCAAAAAGTACTAATCATGTGAGAAGATTGAAGATGAATGATGAAGTCACACAAGAAAAATAATGATATAATAAAATGCTGAGAACATGGGTGAGCTTGGAAGAAAAAAATCAACGAGTCAAGAACACTAGATCAAGAGTAATAAGAAAAAGAATAGCAAAACCAAGATCGATGGCAACAAATCAAAGATAACCTTCAAGAGAAGCTACTGTCATAAGTAATGATAAAAGAGGATCAAGTCCAACATAGTACCAAGTATTGCCAAACAAATCAAAGTATCAAGTTCAAGTAAAAAACCAAGACCCAAGACTTAAGACAGGAAGTTAAATCCAAAACTATATTTATAATATATCTTTAGGACTTAAGCATATATGCAAGGGTATATGGTAGATTTCATTGCATGAGCTCAAAGTATTTTTCAGAGTTTCATATTGCATAAAAACCTTGAAAAAACCTCTCAAAATTATTTGGAAATTGCTTCAACATATTTTAATAGGGTTCTATTAATCTCCTGTTGCTGCAAAAAAATTATCTATAGCTGACACATGCTTTTCAGGATACGAAATTGTATCCTGAAAAACATGTGATTGCTGCAGATAACTTCTCTTTCTTGCAGCTGAAGATACATATTTCTCATTTTAATATCACAAATCATTTTCCTAGAGCCAATTACATGTTTTCATGATATTAGGAACTTGTTTTAAGTGAAAAGAATGCATTTCTAGCCAATTCCAAGCTTTCTTAAGGATTAGGATAAACTAAAGATTTTTCAGGATAAATTAGACACTTATGAGGATATCTGTCATGATTTATCCGAATAATTTGAAGAATTTATCTAGATAAATTATTTATTTAATTATCCGAATAAATGTTGACAACATTCGTATAACGGCGATAAACAGTAGGGGTGTTCATCAACCGATCCAAACCGATTCAAACTGCGAAAATCGAACCGAAAAATCGATAACCGAAAACCGAAAAATCGAAAACCGAAAAAAACCGCAAATTTTAATTGGATTGGATCAGTTTTTGGATGGGTTGATGAAAACTGATCAAATCCAAACCAATGCAATATATTAATTATCCTCTATCTACTTGTCCTTTCCCCAATTATAGTCCAAAAATTTCTAAACTCAAGACCCATTAACTCATCAACTAAACCCAAGAAAAAACTTAGTCACGTCTCATCAACTATAGTATTGTTTACTGATATTTTTGTATTTCAAAAAAATTAAAATTACAAAGCCAATATATACAAAAGATGTTATTTGCACAATAATCATGAAACTAATTTTAGGATATTCAAAAAATCGAAAATCGATCCAATCCAAACCGAAAAAAATTAGATTGGATCAGATCGGATTTGAAAAAAAATCTAAACCTATTGGATGATTACATGATCAAACCGAAGGGATTGGATCAGATGAGTTTTGCTTCCAAAACCGATCCAATTCAGACCGCGAACACCCCTAATAAATAGTTAGTTTTCAATGAAAACATTATATATGCATTCCTAACTACTTTAAATTATTTTGGGCATTATTGTTACACATCTTATTCAAATTTTGAGAGTATTTTGTCATTAATTACATATCATTCAATCTTTTTTTCAAAAGTTATACATTCTTGAGCTCATATTGTGAAAAATCATATACCCATAATTCTTCAAGTTGTGTATCTGCACTTGAGAGTGTAAGTTCATTTCGTAATCACCACCACATTGTAATATTGTATTTGAGGATAGTGAGTCCCATAAGTTAAAAGGTTTCTAAGCACCTATGAGGCTTAGAGGTTATAAGGTTACCATTAAGTACGTACCTGAAAACTTGATGGTAGTAAGGTTTTCATGCACCCCCAAAGCTTGGAGGCTGTATCGATTTGTCAGGGATCTGCGAAGCTTGACACTTACTGAAATATTTGATCACACAACTTCAATCTAGATATACGTCGCAAGTGGTGTTGACTAAATTAGAATAAATCTTTATTTGCCATCTCTCTGTCCTTTAACTTTTTTATTCTTGCATTTATTTCCTTTTTGATATCTTGTATATGCTAGTGTAGGTTATTTAATTGTGAGAAATTATGAATCTTGATTTAGTTGAAAGTGTTGAAAATCTTTTCAGATATCAAAATGAGCCTAAAAAGGTAATTTGGAAACAAGTGTTGGGTTTGTATTTTTACTTAAGCCTAATTGAACTACGGGACCATTTGGATGGGGTCTATTTTAGCCAAAAATTGCTTTTTTAGAAGAAGAAAAAATATTTTTACTACAAAGTCCGTTTGGATGTCTGCTTTAGAAAAAAAAGTCACAAAAAAGCCAAAAATTTGCTCTTTTGAAGTTGAAAAATTTAACTTAAAAATAAACCATAAATCCAAAACAAATTTTTTTTCTTTTCAAAAACCAAATATTTTATGGATTTTATAAGAGTTATGTTGTAGAAAAAGTGATATGTAATGTTATAGAGATTCGTTTTGCGTGCCGTAATTTTCTTTTTCTTCAAAAAGTGTGGGCCCCACAAAATGTTGTGTGTGTAAAAAGTTTGTTGTGTCATGTTAAATGACAAATGCAAACCCCATATTTTATTTTTAAAATCTAAATAGCGCTAGCTTCTGTCAAAAGCACTTCTAAAATAAGCAAAACATAAAAAGTCCTTTTTTTTATAAGCCCATCAAAACGGGTAAGTGTATAAGAAAAGCCGAAGAAACCTAGAGCTCAAATAGCTTAGGGCTAGAATTTCTTGGTACTCATATATACTATTGCTTAAATCATCAGCCTCCTTTTTGGTTGGTCAATCGAAAGAGGTAAGCTCAGATTTGATAAAGTGCCTACACACTATCCCTTCCCCCCTTGAGAGGTAGTCTGGATGTTTGGCAGAAGCACAAGGAAATCTGTTCGTGCTGTGACACAAAGGAAATCAGTTCGTGAAGGGAGTTCACGCACAAGGAGGTCTCTCACAAATTTGCGCTACAAGAGGTATGCCTTGTGTGATTAAGAGACAATGATGATTCAGTAAGCATACAAATATACTAGGTCCTAAAATAACTTTAGAATGAATCCAATTAATCCTAGCTACAACAAGAAGAGGTATTCAATTCATCCCTTCTTGAGTATGGAAGCCACATTCCTAACACCTTACACAAAAATAAAAGCTCTATCTAAGACGAAAATCATCTTTTAGTTAACGACAATTCCTAACATTATTTGAGATACACTTATTCCAATTCTTTCAAATTTTGTTGTTTCTATTTATTTTAGGACTTGGGTCCGTGTGCTAAAGACTTTTTAAATAATCAGTTTATGGAAAAATATTTTCTCATGTTGCATGAAAATTCAATTATCATGTTGTGACCATTTGATTTGCGTGAAAAATTTTCTTTCTTTTTCTCTTTTTAAAAAATGTGAGACCCACCACTAGTGGAGTCACAACATGAGAATTTAATTTTCATGCAACATGAGAATTTAATTTTCATGCAACATGAGAATTTAATTTTCATGCAACATGAGAAAATCAAACCTCTTAGTTTATACCTAAATACTTTATAGGGAATATATTTCTCATATTGCATGAGACAAAACATATAAAAAAATGGATATGATGCACTTTTTTCTTTCTCTCTCTTCTCCTTAATAGATTCTATCACTTTTTTATTTGTGCATAAAATAATTTTGTCTCGTGTAACATGAAAAAAATGTATTCCCCATACTTTATTAGTCCTAAAGAACATACAGCTCTCTCACTTATGTATTTTAAATACATGTATATTTGGATTATAAAATTATAAGAATATTTTGATTATGAGATCTTTAAAAAAATATAAAAATAAACTAATACACATCACTTGAGAGTATGGTTATCAAAGCTACCAGAGTGTTACTCTTTCAAATATTGTTTACCGGTCTTGTGCAAAAGCCATATTCGCAAATAAAACGAATATATATATTGACACACAACAGAAAATGTGAACTTCAATAATTAAATACATACGTCCATCACTTGGAAATACTAATTGCAAGCTAGTCTGTGTACAAACACCGTACATGGATATAATATGGCAAAATGATTTTTGCACCCACTGCACCTACAGCTAGTCAGGATCCGCGTCCGGATCCTAGGATACGGCACCGGATTCTTGTTTTTTTTTTTTAAAACGTCGTGGGCCCACTTTTCTGTGTCAGCTGTAGAGAGTGTTATCTACGACGACTGCAAAAATGATAAGCCCATATAATATTACCTAGTATACACAAGATAATTATTATAAGGGAAATGCTTTTCTCGTGTTATTGGAGAGGAGAGAAGTTTTCTATACACTCAAATTCATGGTGGGGCCCACTCATAAAAAATAAAGAAAACAAAAAAAATTATTGCACGTAAAACAAACTCTCACTAACATGAAAACAGAACTCTCCTGCAACATAAGAATTCTTCTTCCTTTATTATAATTATATATAACGGGTACCACTAGCTAGACAGAATATGCAGAATGAAAGAGTAGTAGAAGTTGAAACTAATAATAATTAGAGTTTAAAGTCTAAAGTTACTTCAGATAACTTATTTACCGTTCATCAAAATACACACACAAATGTGTGGGGTCCATGTAGAGAGAAGAGAAAAAAAGAAAAAGAAAATATGAGCCCCACACATTTTTGTGTGTGTATTTTAATAAATATTAGATAAAATTATCTAAAGTAATTTTAGAAACTTTAAACCCTAATAATAATCAGAAGGTGAAAGTAACTAAAAGTTGGATGAGTTGGAAGAGCAATGCCACTGAATGAAGCTTTGGAGGGTAGCAACATCAGCTCTATAGTGTTTCTGCGTGAATTCAAACAAATTGGACCATGTGAAATCAGGGTACTTCCTTGGCTCATTTTTGCTTAACATATTGTCTGGGGGCCTCACTGTCTTGTCTTCTCTTGGACACACAAAGTAAACCAGTGACCTTCTCTCCCTGTATGTGTTGACCAATGCCCTATGCAGGCAACTCTTGTATCTTCCGTTTGACAACGCCTAAACACCAAAAAGGCCAATGTATTAAACTCCTATGTCTCACCTAAATACGTTCAGATTTTATGCCATAAAACCTGAATCATGTTTATTTTCTGTTTTCATTTTCACTGTTAAAATGGTTTGGCAAACCCAAAATCCTTTATAAAGGATACTTCCATGGATCAAATAACAAATGATAATAATTGGGCTTGGCATAACACATCAACCCAAAATCTTAAGACAATAAGTCTATAGATTTATTCACTGGTTCTCATTTGGTTAATTTCTAATTAATAAATCAAACCTATCACTTTTGGGGCGTTAGGGAAAAATAAAAATATAAGCCTCCTATTACGCATCAATTATAATGGTATAAAGGCAGCCTAACTAATGTTGCAAGCAATCAAATATTAATTACAAAAGTAGAAATGTAGGCCTCCTATACGTATTAATCTAGTCATGATTTACAAAATTTTAAATATGGATATCGAACAATGAAACAAATAGTAGACAAAATACTTTAATATTGGGGTCATATATATATATATATATATATATTACATAATGACTATAATGCAGTTTTTTTTTTTAATTTTTGTTAGAAGCTAATCTTTTAATTTTAGGATAAAAGCATTAAAAAAGTTTTAATTTTAAAATTTGGGAAAAAATTATTTAACTGTCTTAACATTTCTATGATATATTTTTTTCTTAAAAAAAAGTAACACAAGCGAGCCTTAAAAATGGGAATAGTCAAAAAATACTGGTAACTATAATTGATATATGAAGTTTGCATTTGTCATTTAACATGACATAATAAAATTTCCTACACATACAATATTTTGTGGGGTCCACATTTTTTGAAGAAAAAAAAAACTCCGGCACGCGAAACGAATCTCTATAACATTACAGTATTATTTTTCTTATAACATTACTCTTATAAAACCCTTGATATATCGATGTACACTGCCTAATGGTGCTGCAAGTAACTGTACATGTGATTGCACGCACGGCATAATTGAATTTAACGAAAAAGCTTAAATAAAATAACTATTTTTTTTTTTTAATCTTTACAAAGAGTTGAGTGAAAGTGTTAAAATTAAGCAATTTTAAAAGAACTTAATATTACTAATTCAGGTTTTAGTAATAAGAGATTGCAATCCATTTTACTGCGACCAATCTTTATAGGGTAAAACTCTAACTTAAGTTGTAGCTATAAATGACATACATATATAGAAATTTGTGTAATTAATTTGAAATGTTTATTTGTGTACACGTAGCTAGATCTGTTTAAATATAGTCAAATTAATAGATTTAATTTGATTTTAATATTAATTATATGATTTTACAATTTTTTCTTAGTTAGTCAAACCATTTTATTGATCTTATCTATTGCTTATAAAGCGAGAAATCATGTTATTCAGTAAAGTTAATAAATTAAATTTGATTCATATATAATGCGTTCAAAATAAAATTATAAATTCATTTTAAATTATATCTTATGGAAGAGTGTTAAATAACCTAAAAGTTTTACAACATCTTAATAAAAGTTAAATTATATTTTTTAACGTTAATTTCTACCAATCTAATAGTTATGATTTATTGGATCTCATTTATTAATTTCTAATAAATCATAACTGTTGAATCGCGAAAATCGTTGATGAAAAATAATGTTGTAAGAGGTTATAAAACTTTTAGGTTAATAGAATAATGCTGATTATATCTTATGATATATTTGATGAGAGTTATTCTCTAACTCAAATCAAATTAATAATATATAGTAAGTCCAAACTCTATAGAGTGTTACCGTCAAAGCTTAATTAATAATAAAAATAAATCATCTGTCTTAGTGTCTTTTATTGCATGCTATATGTACTATTCAATATTCCTTTTCCTAGCGCTAATCGGACGCATAACCTTAATTAGGATTTAGCTTGCCCTTTTAGATGAATGAAAGGTAACATAAGTTAAAAGACATATATAAGGCATCATTTAAGATCAAGAAAAAGTATGTAACAAGATAAGAATTAAGATGATAACATAAGGTTGAGAGAGAGAGAAGAGAAGTTATATACCATGAAAGTGTCACCTATGTTTATGACTAAGGCTTCAGGTCGAGGGCGAACAGCGAGCCATTTGTTATCAGCAAAAACTTGAAGACCTCCAACTTGGTCTTGATGAAGAATGGTAACTGAGGTTGGGTCAGTGTGAGGGCCAGTGCCAAGCGTGAGGCTGGGATTGTTGCAAGTTGGATAGTAGTTGCACCTCATTATTGAGTTACCATCTTGGAAAAATCTTCGATAATCCAAACGATCCACATCCAAACTAATGGCCAATAGCTCCATAATTAATAAAGATAATTCCTTCATTGCTTCACAGTACTTCTGAAACACCCACCTATTATTATTCCAATTAAAATTTAAATAAATAAAATAAAATAAACCATGTCCAATGAAATTGTTGAACACTATCTATTAGCTAATTATTAAGTCAATTTTAGTGCATTTTGACTTGCAATAATTGTGGCATATGAATCAACTAGTTGGTTGTCCTCGTTCAAGTACTTCCTGTGTGGGCTATGGTCACAACAGGGCAATGTTGTGAAAAGAGGACGGACCGGCCGGGTCGATCTGGAATTCGGTGAACCGGTCACCTGATCGATTCAGTTATCACATTAGATCAGTCAAGTATCAGACTCAGTGCGACCCAGTCGGTTTTGATGAAAAACCGGTGATCCGACCTGGGTTTTTTAAAAAAAATATTTTCAAAAAAAAAAGTTTTCCAAACAATAAATAAATCATAATCGACATGTTTGAGTGATCTAATACTTATTAACTTACACAAGTTATGCATCAACAATATTAATATTATCCCAGTTATGTACTATACACGAAATTTTGATTTGATAGTTAGATATGTCGTTTACCGAACTTGAAACACTAATATAACAAGTATTATGTGTTTGTTTGATTCTTTATTGGACAATAATGTATAATTTATTACTTTTATATTAAAATATTTAAAATTTGTATAATTTTTTCAGCTATTTGAATATATTTATAATTTTTTAATATAAATTATAGATTTATAACTATCGGGTCATACAATTCAACCGGTGACTCACTGGTTGAACCAGTGATCCAGTACCTTAACCGAATCATTGACCGGACCGATTTTAATAATACTGCAAAAGGGTGCAAGTGGGGTCGTAAAGAAATTTTTTTGTAAAGGACATTATTGTTGGTCCAAAAATGGACATTGTCATATCATGATGAAAAATCAATTCAATGTGGCTCTTACCCTGTGTGTTGAAAGTCTTCTCCTAAGACAGAGTTGAAGTAGTCAACGATCTGGGACTCGGAGTTGTTTTGGTGATTATATAGAAAAGAAAATGTCTCTTTCCATGGCAACTTGGATGAATATCGATCTGCATGAGCACCTGAATAGCCTGAGACTCCACCAGGTTTTCTTCTACCACTCAGTTTCTTGCTGATGGGGAGGTTGAAAATGGAGTCAAATTCATGATAAGCACCATGTATAAGATCTGGGTCAATACCATGGTTGATGACTTGAAAGAAGCCATGTTTCAAGCATGCTGTTCTCACAAGCTCAGCAGCTGAAGCAATAGCTTCCTCGTCACCCTTGTTCATGATGTCTAAGTCTATGAGGGGTTCCTTGAGCTCCTCTTGTGTGGTGTTAACCAAGTCCTTAGATGGCCAGACGAACTCTTTGGGCATGTGCTCTTGCTTTTGAAGCAAATTTGTGTCAAAAACAAAAGCCCCATTCTCATCCTTGGGCTCCTCATGTGGCTGTGATGCAGGGTTCAGTACAAGAGTGGAAGCGCTTAATTCCATTAGGGGGAGACATTTGCTCTCCAAATATGGAGGCTCTATAAATAGCTAGCAAGGGAAGGATGATAAAACAAAGTATTAAACTAAGATCATGTTTAGATCTTCTCTTTTGTAAGCTAGAAGTTACTTATAAGTTAAAGTTAAAAAAAAGAGCTTAAAAAGAAAAGCTAAAAGCTATTTAGTAATCACATATTTGGGCTCGTTTGTATTGCCTTTTCAAGGAAGTTCTTTCTATCACTTCCTTATTTTAAAAGTACTTTTTATAAAAGTTACAGCTATTTAGATTTTTTAAAAAATATTTGATTTTTGAAAAAAATATTTGGTTTTTGACTTCTGCTTTTTTTAAAAGCTAAAATTTTTAGCTTTCGAAAAAGTAGATTTTTGGCTTTTTTTATGACTTCTGCTTTTTTTAAAAGCAGGCATCCAAACAGACTTTTTTTGAGAAGTGTTTTTTTTTTTAAAAAAAAAAAACAGCTATTGAAGAAGAAGAAAAACCATCCAAACAGGCTCAAAAAATTTAGCTTAAAAGCACATATTTCAAGAAAATTATCTCTCTCTCTTTATAACTCTTTATTCTAAAAAACAGCACACAATTCAAGAAAAAAAGATAAGAACTTAAAAAAAACTACTCCTAAGAACTTGTTTGGATCCTCTTATTTTTAAAAAAAGCACACAATTCAAGAAAAGAAGCTAAAAGCTGTTTGGAAATTACATAAAAAATTTAGCTTAAAAACTATTTAAAAGAACATATTTCAAGAAAATTATCTCTCTATCTTTATCACTCTTCATTTAAAAAAAAAAGCTCACAATTCAAGAAAAACAGATAAGAGCTTAAAAAAAAAAGCTCCTCCTATGAGTTTTTTGTTTTCAGCTTTTTTCTTCATTATAAAAAAAGAGCTTTTCGTTATAAGAGTTTTTCTCAAAACCTGTTTGGCCTAGCTTATGCTTATAAGTAGCTTCTAGCTTAAAAAATAGAGGATCCAAACAGGCACTAAGAGTTTTTAGCTTTCACTTTTTTTCTTCATTATAAAAAAAGAGCTTTTTATTATAAGAGCTTTTTCTAAAATCTGTTTGGCCTAACTTATGGTTATAAATAGCTTCTAGCTTAAAAAAAAGATTTAAACAGACACTAAGAATAAATAATTAAAAATCTTATATTTAAGAGTGTTACTAACATTGTCAATAATTATACTACTTGTCTCTTTTTAAGAGCAATCAACGAGTGGTTATGGAATAGGTGACTTGTGAAACACTATTGTTAATTATTGCTCCTACAATAAATATTTAGAAATTTTATTCAATATAATTGAGATTCTTAGAAAATAGAAATAGATGAATGTGTCCCGAAGCAGATGAAGTATCTCAATCTAAAATGACTAAAGAAGCAATGGTATAGAACAAAGCTCCATGAAGTCACTGTATACTAGCCTCAAGTAAAGGATCAAGGATGAGGTGAATAGGGCACAATTATGGCTGGAGTGGGGAGAATTTGGTCAAAGTTTCTGCTATGTGAGCAATAGACACGAAGATGATTCATTTGGAGGTCTTGCCGAGCATTTATAGAATATAAATATTCACTTTCAGCAAGGGAGGTGTGATCTCATAATTGTTTTTAGCCCTATAATGATGTGTGGTTGCGTGACTCATAATGTGAAAAAATCACATATAAAGATACATGAGGGGGACACATATATTGAGGGTCCAAATATCTTTGGACTTTGTTTGGAAGTTGATTTTTGATGGGAAAGGAAGGGAAGAGAAGGGTTTTATTAATCTCTTCTCTTGTTTGTGAGTTTGGAAAAATGAGGAAAGAAAATTGGAGATTTTTGCAAAATCCTCCAAAACTCTTCTCATCCTTAAAATTAAAGTTCCTCCAATTTGGAAGATTTAAAGGAGAAAATATTAAAAATTACTTATCATTAAAATTAAAGTTCTCCCAATTTGACAGAAACTAAATTTCGTCGTAAATTTTGACAAAAATTTAGTTTTGTAAAAAATTTCATCGGATAAAACTTCCGTCGCCTTTCGATGAAAAGTATTCTAACGGAAAAATATTTTTGTAACGAAATTTTTATCATTTGCAACGTAGAATTTTCGTCGAAAATATGATCTTTTTTAGTAGTGTGAAAAATACATAAATAATTTTGTTTAGAAATTTAAACTTAATTTTATTTGTAAAATGTAATAATTATATTAATTTTTAAAAACGGGTAAAATTGTAAAAATATCTCATTGATCCTCCAATTTCCCCTGACCATTTTTTTAACTCCCAAACAACAGAAAGGAATATCCTTCAATTACCTTCCCTTCCTTTCCCTTTCTTCTCCTTGGATTTCCTACCTTTCCTTCTCCTCTAAACTCATAGACAAAACAACGCTGAGGTGCCAAGTGTTTTTTACCTTCTCAGACACATATACTGAGGGTCCAAATGCCCTCAAGTACTAAGGGGACGTTTGGTTGAGGAAATTTTTTTGGAATAGTAGAGAAATGTAATAGATAAAGAAATGATTGGAAAGATAGATAAAGTGAGATAGGTAGAAAAATGTAAAAAAAAGTTGTTTGGTGGAGACAAATTTTACTGGGAAAATTAAATAACTTTATGAAATCAACAGTGCATTAAAAGTCAGATAACCGGTTTTCCGAAAAATCCCACCTTCAAATTGAGTTTCGAAACAGTGCGGATATCTATGTTTCTCATAAATCCATACAAATTGAATAGATGGATTTTTTGTGAAAATACGTTGAAACAAACATGGTGTTTCTAAAAGTCATACTTGAGAAACATAGATATCGGCTGAAAAGCTCCCAACCAAACATCACCAAAGTGTTTTTTTACCTTGTCAGACGATGAATGAAATCGACCGGTAAAGGCCATCTAGTTGATACGGAACAATAATCACTCTGACAAAGTACTTTTTACCCTGACCCTTAAATCGATCGGTACTCATAAAAAAGTTGGGTACTTGTGTAATCTCCCAAGTTAAGCGCAATTTATTTAAGCGGATTACTTCTCTTATGTAGTATGAGAGAAATTTTTTCATGTTAAAAGTTAAATAAAGTGGGTCTTATCAAATTAAAAAAAAAAAAAGGCACATTTTTCGAAGAGAGAGTGATATGAGAAATCTATCTTATGCAACATAAGAGTATAATTTTTCTTGATTTAAAGTTGAAAGTTTGATTTTTAAAGTCTATAATCTCATTTAGTACATGATATGTAAATATATAGTGCAATAAGCTAGCTCTTTTTTTTTTTTTTGGTACATAATAAGCTAGCTCTTGATTCTGACATGTATAAGCTTAAAAATGTTTGAGTGTCCCCTTCGTTAAACTTTAGTACCGAAAAAGGCATTTTCTAAAACAAGACAAAGTTCACATTGCATAAAATTTGTCGTGTAATATTTAATGATTCGGAGACTGCTATTAAAGAAATAGTTGTGGGGAATGGTTAAAGCAGACAGAGAGGTGGACGATCAGAAAAGAAAGGCCAAAGGCCGCCCTTTGAGAAGGTTGAATCTAATGAATGTTCTACAAGAGAGCCAACAACTACGACGAGTGGACGCTCGTTAATTGCTTCGGTCATTGTCTCTTTATGAAGATAGAGATCAGATCACCATGCAGCATAGCAGACCATATATTTTATTTATTTCCCCCCAAATATCTTCTATGTATCACTAGCTAAATCACATTGAATCAATGACAACTTTCCTATCACACCAATTCACTCTTAAAAAAAGTTATTTTATAAGACTCACATAATGTTATATTTTAAACATTCGAGAACATGTATTCAATTTTTTTCAATATCATCTTGGAATTTAAAATCTTAATTTTAGGATTCATCCTGTTGTAAATAATAATTATTTAGTTATTATTTAGTCATTTATTTGTTGTATTGGGCCAAGCCCATTAGGTTAAAATTAGGTCAAATATTCTCTATAAACAGAGAACTTTTTGTACAGATTATTTACAATTCTATAATATATTAGAATACCCTTTTTCAAGTTGGTATCAGAGCTCTACATGGTATCAGAGCTCTCGATCTGAGGGCTTTGCTTCCGCACATATTATCTTCTTTTTTAACAAAACCCTAATTTCTTTGCCTCTTGCCGCAATCAGCCGCCACCGGAAAAATTTTTCGGGGACCTTTTGGACCAAGGGGACCATTGTTGACCTTATTTTTCCTCCGATCTATCATTCTACGCATTGTTCCTCCGCCACAAACGACCGAAACACCTCCGACCGCCTCCAATCAGATCTGTCTTCACCGTTTGGACCACTTTCCGGCGACTTTTCAACAGCGACCTCCCACAGACAGGTGCGCGCTCACCGGACGACCACACCAGAAAAATCTCAGCCGGCGAAGCCCATCCACGCGCTCTCACGCGCCGCCCCTTTCCCGGCGAGTGAATCCCACGCGCAGCTCCTTTCTCCGGCGCGTGGAGGCGCGTGCGGCCGTGTTTTTGGACCGGACCGCCACCATTCTTCTCGTCTTCTTGTCTTTTGTCTGGATCTGTAATTATTTTTCTGATCAGAGGTCATTTGATATTCTGTTTGGTTGATTTTATCGCTGGTTGTTAACTTTTTTTGTTAAAGAATGACCGAGCATGATAGTTCTTCGATCTTATCTGGTAAGAGCACACGTTCTATATCTCTTCTTGCTTCTTGCATTGATTTTAAAACCTCATGGATTTTGGATTCTGGTGCAACTGATCATATGGCTTGTTTTACTGAGTTGTTTTGTTCTTATCATCCTACTGTTGGTAGTCATACTATATCCGTAGCTGATGGATCCCATAAATCAGTTATTGGTTCTGGTAACATTCAAATTCAACCTTCCTTGTTTCTTAAAAATGTTCTTTATGTTCCTCAGCTTTCTACTAATCTTATCTCCACTCAAAAACTTACAACTGATTTGAATTGTTCTATCACATTTTTTCCTTCTCATTGTCTTATTCAGGATCTTACCACGAAGAAGACAATTGGAGTTGCTAATGAACAGGATG